TTAGGCCATTGTCATTTCTCTGACAGTGGCTGTTACTAAATGCATCAAAGGAAGGTTTAGCTTAATCACTTTTAAAATCCCTTTAGGCTGCTAAAGTTGTGTCAAGGGGCCTAATGTAATGAGTGTCTGTCCCTTTGTTCTTGTATTATGAGAGAATGGATAAATTAACCAAATGACCATCTCAATACCATTCTTTATTTTATGTACCTCCATCCTGTCCATCTCTTGTTTGTCTCCATTCTAAAGAGCGCTAGTCTGCTAAACCTCTCCTCATGTCACGTCTCTCTGTTGTCATTTTCCTCACCCTTCTCTGGACCGTGGTGAAACACTCAAATGCTATGATTGTTAGCATGGTATAAAAGTCCAGCTGGCTGTGGATAGACTGGAAGAAGGTAGCAGAATTGTCCCATCTCGCAGCTGCAGAAAACAATGGTTTCAAATAAAAACAAAAATATTAACAAAAGATGCACATAAGTATGTATAACTGTGCGGAATGTATGTACGTCAGCAAAAAGGATTGAATTAAGACTGAACAAACATATTTCATGCCAGACCTTCCTAAACTTCCAGCAGCTCTTTTCCTTAAGTCTGTCAGAATGGCCGTGTGATTTATGCCACTGTAATTTTGATTCAAGATTACTCTATAAGTGATGAAAGGCATTCAGGTGCCATCAGAAATATTTACTCTGTTCTGATACCTATATATCTTTTTATATATTGCTGTCAATCCAGCTCAGCCAGTTAGTTCCCATATAGCGTACCCTTCAGCATCAAAGCCAGTAAATATATAAATGTAACATTACCATAGACATGTGGTTTGCACAGGTAGATAATGTAAACATACAGGGACCACTGTGTTAACAAAGACCATGTCAGTTGCAAGATCAGATTAATCGATTTTAAGGCCAGGAGGGACCATTGTGATCATCTCGTCTGGCTGCCTGCAGGACACAGGCCAAAGAGTTTCACCCATTACGTTTCCTGCATCCAGCCCAATAACTTGTAGTTCTAGATGAGAATCATGCCCCTTCCCTCTCCATATATTCTCTGTCAGTGTTCAGAACCACATTTTAATAAATGCTGACAGATAGGCACTCCTTTTAGTTTGTATATCTTTCCGAGAGCAACCAAGACAACTCGTACACACTCTGAACACGTTTTGGGGCAGATGCATTTCCTCAAGCAGCATCATGCTTTTTCTTTAGCAGATATGCCACCTCTTCTTGGTTTTAGCTGAGTAGGTTCGCCCATCGCTTCCCAGTGGTTAGTTTTAGCTTTCGCATCATTATGTGCATTACAGTGTCCTCCTGAGACATGACCAGTGTCTTAAGTTTGCATTGCAAGTGGTTCCTGATTAGTTAAGTCAGGTGCTAAGATGTATAGATTTTAAAGCCCTTGAGAAATAAAGAATTGTAGCTTGATCCAGAACATGTTGACAAACAGAAGGAAGAGCTGGTTCATGAGATAAATGCTTCCATACTTTCCTCTTAGGTTTCTTTTCTTTTCTCTTCCCTTCAACTTCTCTTAGTTAGTGCTTACGAAATGGAAGGAGAATGCAGGAATTGCTACTAAAAATACATTAGATGAGCAATTAGGATATCAAAATCTGTTGACTTTTTTATCCAGAGTGTCTTCCAGGGGAAGAGCTATAAAGTAAAGCAGGTTTATCACTTTCAGCCTGGTCAGAGTAATGGTTCCTGACAGAAGCCAAGGGTGATTCCTGAAGCTGGTTTATGTTGAACTTCCCTGCAAATGGAGGTAGTTTGAAGGTCTGCAGACAAGTGTTGTTTGTGGCAGGGCAAGAGACTCGTTAAACTAAAAGAGTAAAGGATCTGCCTTGCTCCTTTCCTTGTAACGTCATCATCTCCTTGCTTTTTGTGCCATTTTGTCCTTCATATCATTAATCTGACACCTAAATATGATTGGAACTGTCATTTAGCAATTGGTTTGTTTCTGTAGTCATGTTCCATCATAATTTTGGGTCTTGGAGAAGCAGAGCATTTCACCCGAGATTGGAAAATGAGGTATTACCCAAAAACAGCCAGCATGTGCTTGCGATTAGAAATTCATTTAAATGGTCTAGTGTTTTACAGGCATGTTATTTTCTCCTTTTCTTTCTTACTGTGATATGAAGATTGAATCATATTTTTAAATGAAATATGAATCCTGCTGGACTGTAAACATGACTAATGTGCCTCATGACATTATTGTGAACTGATAATTCCAAAGACCTTTGTGAATAAGCCTTTGTTATGATGACATCTTAGTGCTTCTGACATGTAAGATAATGAGCAGAGCTGATAAGCATCAAGTAAGTTTTGCTGATTGGCGCTGAATTAATATAAAGGCCTGAACCAGATCTGGGCATTACTTTTTTCTCTTTCTTGGTAAATGTGGTAATGTTGGACTCAGCTTTGGTTCTCAGCTCCTCAAAAATACACTTCAGATCTTTGGATTAAACTGGTTTACTCCACTATATTAGTGGGTCAGAAATCTGCTCTAGAGGAAGGAGCCATTTGCTGACTATACTCTGTTCAGTAAAGATTTTAAATACGTTACTGCTATCTGATATCATCTAACCTGGACTGTGCTCACAGGTCTTCGACGTTGGATCAGGCCCTTGGAGAAACTATTCTCAAATGTTATTTGTATTTATATTATCCAAAGTAGTTCTTTATACAGTGCTATAGAATCATAGAAATGTAGGCTTAGAAGGGACCTTGAGAAGTCATCTAGTCCAGCCCACTGTGCTGACACAGAACCAAGTAAACCTAGACCAGCTGACACAAGTATTTGCATAATTTGTTCTTAAAAACCTCCAATGATGGGGATTCTATAACCTCCCTTGGACGCGCATTACAGAGCTTAACTGCCCTTAGAGTTGGAAAGTCTTTCCTGATAGCTAACCTAAATCTCCCTTAAGCCTAGTACTTCTTGTCCTACCTTCGTTGGTTGATCACTGTCCCCTTTATAAGAGCCCGTAACATATTTGAAGACAGTTATCAGGTCTTTTTTTCTCAAGACTAAACTTGCCCAGTTTTTTTAACCTTTCCTCATAGGTCAAGTTTTCTAATCTTTCATATTTGTTGCTCTCCTCCGGTCTGTTTCCAATTTATCAACATCTTTCCTAAACCATGATGCCCTAAACATGACGCACTACTTCAGCTGAGGCCTCACCAGTGCTAAATAGTTTGGAACAATTAACTCTTGTGTCTTAGATATGACACTCCTGTCAATACACCCCAGAATATTAGCCTTTTTTGCAACTGCATCACACTGTTGGCTCATATTCAATTTGTGATCCACTATAATTCCCAGATCCTTTTCTACAGCACTACTGCTTAACCAGTTTTCCCCTATTTTGTCGTTGTGCATTTGTCTGTTTTTCCTTTTTAAATGCAGTACTTTGTTCTTGTCTTTATTAAATTACATCTTTTTGGTTTTGGACCAATTCTCCAATTTGTCAAGGTCATTGGAGAATTGTTCTGAAATCAACAAGGTGCAATTCAATGAAGCTCGTAACTAATAATCATTGAAGCAATAGGGTTGCCCTAAACATGGTGTGATCCAGTGTTGCCAATTCTCACAATTATATCATGAATGTCCCAATATTTTGTGCTTTTCTTGTAGTCCCAACTCCTGGAGTTATGTGATTATGTGAGAATCGCTTATTACAGTCTATTTTACAGCTTAGTTTTCTTTAATGAAATTTTCTACCCATCCTAGTTGTGGAGAAAGCATGAAAACATGAACCCTAAAGGCTATGACACCAGAAAACAAATAAAAATAAATCCAAAATAGCTATTTTTAAACATATTGTTAATATTTACGCAAATCTCGTGATATTTTGGGGGCTGACTTGTGATTTTTTTTTAACCCTTGGAGTTGGCCAGAATGTTGTTCTGGAAATCGTGGTGGATGCTTCCCATCTCGTTTAAGGGACAAGAACAAGATCCAGGAATTCTAGAGTAAGAGACTATGGATCCATCTACACTTGGAGCTGGGGGTGTGAGTCCCAACCCACATCAATATACTTGCACTAGATTTCATCAAGCTGGCATGGGCATGGGCTCGCTCTCCAAAGTGCAAACCCATCTGGACCCCAAGGGTACGTACTTGGGGCAGCCAACCAGTGCCGCCACTTGCCTCTGCCTGTGATACCCCAGCTACAGGATGATTTTTAGCAAGCTACATTGATGAGAGTTACCATGAGCAGTATGTCTCTGCTAGCTAGGAATCCCATCCCTAGCTTCAAGAGTAGATGTAACCTGAGAGTCTAGAGTAAGAAACTCCGAGGCTGTATTCTTGACTCTGCCAATTCCTGCTCTCTGACTTTATACATATTGCTAAATCTTGGCTTATCCCTCTGTAACACGAGTATCATAGTGTTGTAAGACTTAAGGTTTGGAAGACCTGGGATGAAAGGTGCCATTGTGTAAATACTTGCAGTGATGAAGTCTAGCTATATTCCACTGTGATAATGTCTGTAGACATATTCCAAGGATGTAATTAATGTATCTGTGATTTAGTATGGTAGGAAAGTTAAAACTACAAGCAAAGGAACTGGTTCAGCTAAAGTAAGAAACTGTCTGAATCTTAGTCCAATTTCACATTGAACCAGACCTGAATCTGTTTTGTGTTTGGAAAAGATCCAGTTAGCTTTCTTTTCTTTTCTTTTCTTTTCTTTTCTTTTCTTTTCTTTTCTTTTCTTTTCTCCCCTTCCACCTCTGTGGTTCCTAGTTCTGGACAAGTCTGGTATATAATTGCCAACATACTGCAAAAAATACTGCTGCTCTCAAGCCTGACCGGAAGCCGGAAGTGCTGAGTATCTCAAGAGATGCTTTTGGGGTGAGATTCCTAACCCAGTTTTGCAGATTGAAGAGATGTAATTAACTCAGACTAAGCATATGGAGCCAGATCTTCAGAGAGTGTAAATCAGCTGAGAATCTGGTGCAGGAACTTTTGGGGTACATCTAAGCCTCTTGAAGTTTGCCCACCACATGACAGCTCCCCTTGGATTTTGTTTCTGAATGAGAGAGAATGGCCTTCTCTCTGTGCAGCAGATGTGGCAGTTGGTGAGGGAGTTGTGGTGCCGTGCAGCACTCGTACAGCTTGCCTCATGGGTGTTCGGACTTGAGACATGCAGAGACTACACTGCGCTGCCCACTTTCATGACACGGAAAAATTCTGAGTCAGGTCTTTGGCAGACACCTCACTGTGGGTGTGATTGGAAACTGAACAAAAAAAAATGTATTCCTTCTGTTTGCTTTCAGTTTGCTGAAATCCCTTTGCAAATGTATTGCCAAATAAACTGGGGTTAGAAAGAAAGTTCATTAAAAACAATTAGCATTTTATTTATTTTTTTTAATATTAAGATTTGGGCTGGTTCAAACCCCGAAGCACTGAGCTCTTTGTACTCAGCTGAACATGAGCTGTGCAGGGGTTAAACAAACAGGCTGTTCGGCAAAGAGTGAAATGCATGCATTTACTGCAGGGAGAAATAACGCTCAAGCACCCCGGATGGCTGCCATCTTGACTGATGTAGTGGGGCACCGCCTGAGCTAAAAGCACAAACTGCTACACAGCTGCGGCTCTGTTCACTTACATCCTCTGCAGAGAAGGGGACCAATAACACATACTCTGCAGTGGGTTACATAGCCTCAATCTGAGCACAGCTATTTTAGAATAAAATAAACTTCAACAGGAAGTGGGAACTGCTTCAGAAATGCAGTGTTCCGCGTCAGAAGTTCATAGAAGGGACCCATCCGTGTGATCATCTGGTCCGACCACCGGCAGAACACAGGCCATAGGACTTCCCTGAGTAACTCTCCGAGTGGAGGGAATTATTCTTCCCTATGAAAAGGGTTTTTTTGAGGGCCATAAGATACGGTTGAATGTACAGCATACAGTACGTTATTCCTGCTGTACAAGAAGATTGTCTTTTTAGTAACATGCATTTTTTAAAGGAATTCTTTAAAGTGACTTCTAAAGTCTCAGGAATCTGAATCTTGCAAAAGAATGTCACTCACAGTAAGATGACGCTGTTAGGGATTGCATCAAATGAACTGGCATTATGTTCCTTGGTAATAACAATCAGAATCCTTAGCCCTGGTCTACACTAGGACTTTAGGTCGAATTTAGCAGCGTTAAATCGATGTAAACCTGCACCCGTCCACACAATGAAGCCCTTTATTTCGACTTAAAGGGCTCTTAAAATCGATTTCCTTACTCCACCCCTGACAAGTGGATTAGTGCTTAAATCGACGTTGCCGGCTCGAATTTGGGGTACTGTGGACACAATTCGATGGTATTGGCCTCCGGGAGCTATCCCAGAATGCTCCATTATGACCGCTCTGGACAGCACTCTCAACTCAGATGCACTGGCCAGGTAGACAGGAAAAGAACCGCGAACTTTTGAATCTCATTTCCTGTTTGGCCAGCGTGGCAAGCTGCAGGTGACCATGCAGAGCTCATCAGCACAAGTGACCATGATGGAGTCCCAGAATCGCAAAAGAGCTCCAGCATGGACCGAACGGGAGGTACGGGATCTGATCGCTGTTTGGGGAGAGGAATCCGTGCTATCAGAACTCCGTTCCAGTTTTCGAAATGCCAAAACCTTTGTCAAAATCTCCCAGGGCATGAAGGACAGAGGCCATAACAGGGACCCGAAGCAGTGCCGCGTGAAACTGAAGGAGCTGAGGCAAGCCTACCAGAAAACCAGAGAGGCGAACAGCCGCTCTGGGTCAGAGCCCCAAACATGCCGCTTCTATGATGAGCTGCATGCCATTTTAGGGGGTTCAGCCACCACTACCCCAGCCGTGTTGTTTGACTCCTTCAATGGAGATGGAGGCAATACGGAAGCAGGTTTTGGGGACGAAGAAGATGATGATGATGAGGAGGTTGTAGATAGCTCACAGCAAGCAAGCGGAGAAACCGGTTTTCCCGACAGCCAGGAACTGTTTCTCACCCTAGACCTGGAGCCAGTACCCCCCGAACCCACCCAAGGCTGCCTCCTGGACCCAGGAGGCGGAGAAGGGACCTCTGGTGAGTGGACCTTTTAAAATACTATACATGGTTTAAAAGCAAGCATGTGAAAGGATTACTTTGCCCTGGCATTTGCGGTTCTCCTAGATGTAGTCCTAAAGCCTTTGCAAAAGGTTTCTGGGGAGGGCAGCCTTATTGCGTCCTTCATGGTAGGACACTTTACCACTCCAGGCCAGTAACACGTACTCGGGAATCATTGTAGAACAAAGCATTGCAGTGTATGTTTGCTGGCATTCAAACAACATCCGTTCTTCATCTCTCTGTGTTATCCTCAGGAGAGTGAGATATAATTCATGGTCACCTGGTTGAAATAGAGTGCTTTTCTTCAGGGGACACTCAGAGGAGCCCATTCCTGCTGGGCTGTTTGCCTGTGGCTAAACAGAAATGTTCTGCGCTGTTAGCCACAGGGAGGTGGGAGGGTTGAGGGGGTAGTCACGCGGTGGGAGGAGGCAAAATGCGACCTTGTAACGAAAGCACATGTGCTATGTATGTAATGTTAACAGCAAGGTTTACCCTGAAAGAGTGTAGCCACTGTTTTATAAAATGTGTCTTTTTAAATACCGCTGTCCCTTTTTTTTTCTCCACCAGCTGCATGTGTTTCAATGATCACAGGATCTTCTCCTTCCCAGAGGCTAGTGAAGCTTAGAAAGAAAAAAAAACGCACTCGCAATGAAATGTTCTCCGAGCTCATGCTGTCCTCCCACACTGACAGAGCACAGACGAATGCGTGGAGGCAAATAATGTCAGAGTGCAGGAAAGCACAAAATGACCAGGAGGAGAGGTGGCGGGCTGAAGAGAGTAAGTGGTGGGCTGAAGAGAGTAAGTGGCGGGCTGAAGACAGGGCTGAAGCTCAAATGTGGCGGCAGCGTGATGAGAGGAGGCAGGATTCAATGCTGAGGCTGCTGGAGGACCAAACCAGTATGCTCCAGTGTACGGTTGAGCTGCAGCAAAGGCAGCTGGAGCACAGACTGCCACTGCAGCCCCTCTGTAACCAACCGCCCTCCTCCCCAAGTTCCATAGCCTCCACACCCAGACGCCCAAGAACGCGGTGGGGGGGCCTCTGGCCAACCAGCCACTCCACCACAGAGGATTGCCCAAAAAAAAGAAGGCTGTCATTCAATAAATTTTAAAGTTGTAAACTTTTAAAGTGCTGTGCTTAAAGTGCTGTGTGGCATTTTCCTTCCCTCCTCCACCACCCCTCCTGGGCTACCTTGGTAGTCATCCCCCTATTTGTGTGATGAATGAATAAAGAATGCATGAATGTGAAGCAACAATGACTTTATTGCCTCTGCAAGCGGTGATTGAAGGGAGGAGGGGAGGGTGGTTAGCTTACAGGGAAGTAGAGTGAACCAAGGGGCGGGGGGTTTCATCAAGGAGAAACAAAGAGAACTTTCACACCGTAGCCTGGCCAGTCATGAAACTGGTTTTCAAAGCTTCTCTGATGCGCACCGCGCCCTCCTGTGCTCTTCTAACCGCCCTGGTGTCTGGCTGCACGTAACCAGCAGCCAGGCGATTTGCCTCAACCTCCCACCCCGCCATAAACGTCTCCCCCTTACTCTCACAGATATTGTGGAGCACACAGCAAGCAGTAATAACAGTGGGAATATTGGTTTCGCTGAGGTCTAAGCAAGTCAGTAAACTGCGCCAGCGTGCCTTTAAACGTCCAAATGCACATTCTACCACCATTCTGCACTTGCTCAGCCTGTAGTTGAACAGCTCCTGACTACTGTCCAGGCTGCCTGTGTACGGCTTCATGAGCCATGGCATTAAGGGGTAGGCTGGGTCCCCAAGGATACATACAGGCATTTCAACATCCCCAACAGTTATTTTCTGGTCTGGGAATAAAGTCCCTTCCTACAGCTTTTGAAACAGACCAGAGTTCCTGAAGATGCAAGCGTCATGTACCTTTCCCGGCCATCGCACGTTGATGTTGGTGAAACGTCCCTTGTGATCCACCAGAGCTTGCAGCACTATCAAAAAGTACCCCTTGCGGTTTATGTACTCGCTGGCTTGGTGCTCCGGTGCCAAGATAGGGATATGGGTTCCGTCTATGGCCCCACCACAGTTAGGGAATCCCATTGCAGCAAAGCCATCCACTATGACCTGCACATTTCCCAGGGTCACTACCCTTGATATCAGCAGATCTTTGATTGCGTGGGCTACTTGCATCACAGCAGCCCCCACAGTAGATTTGCCCACTCCAAATTGATTCCCAACTGACCGGTAGCTGTATGGCGTTGCAAGCTTCCACAGGGCTATCGCCACTCGCTTCTCAACCGTGAGGGCTGCTCTCATCTTGGTATTCATGCGCCTCAGGGCAGGGGAAAGCAAGTCACAAAGTTCCATGAAAGTGCCCTTACGCATGCGAAAGTTTCGCAGCCACTGGGAATCGTCCCAGACCTGCAACACTATGCGGTCCCACCAGTCTGTGCTTGTTTCCCGAGCCCAGAATCGGCGTTCCACAGCATGAACCTGCCCCATTAGCACCATGATGCATGCATTGGCAGGGCCCATGCTTTCAGAGAAATCTGTGTCCATGTCCTGATCACTCACGTGACCGCGCTCATGTCGCCTCCTCGCCCGGTATCACTTTGCCAGGTTCTGGTGCTGCATATACTGCTGGATAATGCGTATGGTGTTTAATGTGCTCCTAATTGCCAAAGTGCGCTGAGCGGCCTCCATGCTTGCCTTGGTATGGCGTCCGCACAGAAAAAAGGCGCGGAACGATTGTCTGCCGTTGCTCTGACGGAGGGAGGGGCGACTGACGACACGGCTTACAGGGTTGGCTTCAGGGAGCTAAAATCAACAAAGGGGGTGTCTTTACATCAAGGAGTATTTCAGGCAGGACTTCACGGAGGGCTCCAATAAGAAATGGTGCACCTAAGTTACCGTTCTTATTGGAACAAGGAGGTTAGCCTGGCCTCTGATTGATACATGGCTAGATTTACCTCGCTGCACCTTCTCTGTGAGTGACTGCAGTGTGATCTAGAGGAATGAGTCCCCTAGACAGGGGAGGAGGCAAATGAGTACAAAACAAATCTGGTCTATTTCTTGTTTTGACCCACTCCATCTATCTTTTACATCTTTGGCTGGCAGCAGACGGTGCAGAAGGACTGCATGCCATCCACATCTCATGGCTGCTCGGCAGAAGATGGTACAGTACGACTGCTAGCCATCCTCATCTCTTGCCTGCCTGGCAGAAGATGGTACAATACGACTACTAGCAATCCTCATCTCTTGCCTGCCTGGCAGAAGATGGTACAGTACGACTGCTAGCAGTCCGTATCGCCTGCCCGCTCACCATAAGACGGTTCAATAGGACTGACTGCAGGACTAAAGAGAATGACCTGGTCAAGTCACTCCAAATTTAGTCCCTGCGCCCATATCTGCCCAGGCGCTCCCAGCCGACGTGGCCAGGAGCACCTCGGACACGACGAGGACGACTACCAGTCGTATTGCACCGTCTGCTGCCAGAAGGCAATGGGTTGCTGCTACTGTGCAGCAAAGCCGTACCGCGTCTGCCAGCACCCAGGAGACATAGGGTGACGGTTACCTGAGCGGGCTCCATGCTTGCCGTGGTATGGCGTCTGCACAGGTAACTCAGGAAAAAAGGCGCGAAATGATTGTCTGCCCTTGCTTTCACGGAGGGAGGGAGGGAACGGGGGCCTGACGATATGTACCCAGAACCACCCGCGACAATGTTTTAGCCCCATCAGAGTGCTCCATTGTGACTGCTCTGTACAGCACTCTCAGATGCCCGATTGTTTGCCGTTGCTCTGACGGCGGGAGGGGCGACTGAGGACACGGCTTACAGGGTTGGCTTCAGGGAGCTAAAATCAACAAAGGGGGTGGCTTTACATCAAGGAGTATTTCAGGCAGGACTTCACGGAGGGTTCCAATAAGAAATGGTGCACCTAAGTTATTGTCCTTATTGGAACAAGAAGGTTAGCCTGGCCTCTGATTGATACATGGCTAGATTTACCTCGCTGCACCTTCTCTGTGAGTGACTGCAGTGTGATCTAGAAGAATGAGTCCCCTAGACAGGGGAGGGGGGGAAGCAAATGAGTACAAAACAAATCTGGTCTATTTCTTGTTTTGATCCACTCCATCTATCTTTTACATCTTTGGCTGGCAGCAGACGGTGCAGAAGGACTGCTTGCCATCCACATCTCATAGCTGCTCGGCAGAAGATGGTACAGTACGACTGCTAGCAGTCCGTATCGCCTGCCCGCTCACCATAAGACGGTTCAATAGGACTGACTGCAGGACTAAAGAGAATGACCTGGTCAAGTCACTCCAAATTTAGTCCCTGCGCCCATGTCTGCCCAGGCGCTCCCAGCCGACGTGGCCAGGAGCACCTCGGACATGACGATGACGGCTACCAATCGTACTGTACCGTCTGCTGCCACAAGGCAAGGGGTTGCTGCTACTGTGTAGCAATGCCGTACCACGTCTGCCAGCACCCAGGAGACATAGGGTGACGGTTACCTGAGCTGGCTCCATGCTTGCCGTGGTATGGCGTCTGCACAGGTAACTCAGGAAAAAAGGCGCGAAATGATTGTCTGCCCTTGCTTTCATGGAGGGAGGGAGGGAACAGGGGCCTGACGATATGTACCCAGAACCACCCGTGACAATGTTTTAGCCCCATCAGGCATTGGGATCTCAACCCAGAATTCCAATGGGCAGTGGAGACTGCGGGAACTGTGGGATAGCTACCCACAGTGCAACGCTCCAGAAGTCGACTCTAGCCTCGGTACTGTGGAAGCACTCCGCCGAGTTAATGCACTTAATGCACTTAGAGCATTTTCTGTGGGGACACACACACTCGAATATATAAAACCGATTTCTAAAAAAACGACTTCTATAAATTCGACCTTATTCCGTAGTGTAGACATACCCTTAGAGATGAGTAATAAATTTTAAGGGCCAAATCTCACCTCAGCGACATAGCTTCCCTGCCTGTTGATATCACATTTGGAGCCATCTCTCCAAAACTGCAGTGACTCAGAAGCCCAGCATGACTCTCCCTTTGGAGGCAAGTGGAAGTGAAATGATGGATAGACCCTGTGCCGGCCCTCTGCATTGCCGAATGATGAGCAAAGGGCTGCAGAGCATGGAATGCTTCTGTCTCAAAGGGCCAGTCTAGACTAGGAATCAAAAGTCTTTCTTTCTTTCTTTCTTTCTTTCTTTCTTTCTTTCTTTCTTTCTTTCTTTCAGTATTGCCTAACACATTTTAATTAGGTTCTTTTTAAATAGCACTTAGAACTTAATGTAGTGATTCACATACCACCTTGCACTATTAAAACAAATGTAGCATTGACCTGGATCAGCTAACACGCGTTTAATGGTGTTAAATCATGTCTAGACTAGGTACACAGAGGTGGTTAAGATATATTAACATGTTACCTACCACTTTTTTTTTACAAAACCTTTATTTCCCTAGTCTAGTCAGGGCCAAATGGGGAAAACCACTGAGAGAACAGTACTAAAGAAATAAAATAAAATTAATTAAACCCAGAAAATCACTTTGACACATGGATGTCAGTTACCCATTTTATAACTGCATAGTCAGAGAAATTTCATATTGGCATCTTTATGCCAGTTCACTACATTCATTTAGTTTTCCTGTAGTCTTCTTTACTCTCTGGGGACTTTGCCTGCATTACCTTACATTTTGGCACATTTGCAAATTTGATCAATATGCTCATTATCCAGGTCATTTAAAATATTAAATTATACTGCTCCCAGAATTGCCTTTGAAAATGTTAAGATTTAGCTTAATTCCCCAGACACCATTTTATTCAGTAACATAATTTGCTTTTTCTAGCTTTATTTCATTTTTTAATTAAAAGGCTATGTCGAGAGAAAAGCATTTTCTTGCCAATTTGAGCTCCCTTATTAATAATATATCATATCTTGATCAGTGATTAATATGTAGGGAATTAGTCACTGACTTAACTATCTTAATGCTTGAACAAAGAGAGGAATTTGTTTTTGTAAATGAGCATATAGTTCTGAACAAAATGGATTTAGCTGATCTGATCCCCTCTCGCTCATTCCCAGCTTCTGGCAAACAGAGGCTAGGGACACCATCCCTGCCCCTCCTGGCTAATAGCCATGGATTTATAGAGAGGGAATATGATATTTTCTATTATCTATCCCTTTCTTAATGATGCCCAACGTTCTGTTCACTTTTTTGACTGCCACTGCACATTGGGTGGTGTTTTCAGAGAACTATCCACAGTGACTCCAAAGTCTCTTTCTCGAGTGGTAACAGCTAATTTAGACCTCATCATTTTATATGTATACTTGGGATTATGCTTTCCAATGTGCATTATTTTGCATTTATCAACACTGAATTTCATCCGCCATTCTGTTGCCCAGTCACCCAGTTCTGTGAGATCCTTTTGTAGCTCTTTGCAGTCTGCCTGGGACCTAACTATCTTGAGTAGTTTTGTATCATCTGCAGAGTTTCCCACCTCAC